AAAAAAAAAAAAAAAAAAAAACCTAAAAAAATGGACAAGAAAAAGAGCTCACAAAGACCTGGAATCTAAACCAACTATTGGAGGCACTAGAAATATGAAACCCAGGTATTTCTGCCCGGAACACAGCGATCTTATTGGTGAGGACATAACGGCTCTCCTCTGGGAGATCTGATGGAGCCTCCTAGTGAAGTGACACACCGGGGGAGCCGGTTATGCCGGTACACCTTACATAGCCCACTCTACCTTCTAGACTATTCCTAAGGGAAATTATTATTGGCTCACATGTTCAAGTGTTTGGTCTAAAAATAACCCGAATTTAACTTTTACCGAGAATTACATGGACTTCTGGAAGTACTGTTCTCATTGCTTTTACATGGCCTCACCTCCCTTTCTGTCCCTCACCCATTTTTTTCATGTGAACTCTTATATATATATATATTTTACCTTAAATCTTTTTATTGATAGCTTTCGATCCTCATTGGGGCCTGTCTAATAGATATCTCTGTTGGATGTCGGCGCTCTCCGTGTATAACACAATGTATTTCTTTCTAGGATTTAGACGTGTGCCTGGAAACCTGCGTAGGGAATGTTTTGTGAGTTTTACTTAACGCTAACATCCATTACTCTTGTATTTTCCTCTATCAGGAAATAAAGATGGAGGAAGCTATGACCTACACAGGTATTCACACTTTTTTATTCTCCTCATCAGCTTCTTTCCCAATAATTGCATGATCCAGTCATTTCAACTAATTTCTGGTTTTCCTCGTGTTGCACAGAGCATAGCTTGGGGTGCATGGTTGTCCTAACAGCATTCCCCACCATATTTTGTCATCGGTCACGGATCTGTCATTTTGCTTTTAAATCAGCTCCCTGTCCCCACGAGATGTCTCTCCAAGTGTGTACTCCTTCCCGTGCCTGCTTGCTTGTTGGATGATGCTTTTAAGCATGGAATGATGTGAAGGGGAGAAAAACCAGAGTGACCTCTGGGAGTCCTGGGAGGGGGTGGAAGGTTTCTTTTCCTTGTGGTGCTTACACGTTGATTTGGTGGGGAGGCTTCATGGACATGAGTTAGAGAGTTTTATTAAATATAATATCAAAGGCACAAAGAACTTATGAGAATTTTAAGAACATTCTAAAGCAAAGTTGGAGGAAACAGAAGGAACTTCTTTATTGCTGGTCATTAACTGCCCTCGGTGGTGAAAATCAGCTGCCCCCTGATTCAGAAAGCTCTGCAGGATGACAGTGGATAAAGAGACTGTTCCAAGGCTTGGGGACAGTGTCTCTGGGGCCAGGACACTCAGAAAAGATACTGACATGGCACTAAGATGATAGTGTCTGGCACCCCTCGGCCCCATCACCCTGTTCTCTTCCAACCCACCCATGCTTCCTGCCTCACTGAGCTCTGTAGGAGCACCCAGACACCTGGTGGCATCCCTGTCCCCTGGGCATCCAGCCATGACAGCCATTGCTAATTTTCTACTCATTGTAGACCTCAGGTGGGTCTATCACAAATGTACCACGTGGGGCCCATAAAGAAGGAGGGGTTGGGACCAGCAATTGATGTAATGACTATGTCGCTGGACTCCCATGTAGTAGACCACAGTTCGAGTCCCAGATCTGGTGACTTAAACTCATGCCAGGCGCATGTGCATGCATGCCCAAGATCCCAAGAGGAGAATGGAGAAGAAGGGATTGTGGCATGGCCATCCCCCTTGGGGGGAGGGGGTGATTTCTAGCTTTCTGTCTCTCTCGTCTCTCTCTCCCTCTCTTTCTCTCTCTCTCTCTCTGTCTTTCTGGTGAGCACACACACCCTATAGCAAAAACCTCTCCAAAAAAAGGAGGAGTTATCCTGACTGCTTCTGCTGAGGGTAAACTGAGGCACAGAGGTGTAAATGCCTTAGTTAAATTGCTTAGGAGAAACATGTTCATCAAGAAATGTGGATTTGATTGATGCTATCCACATGAATATCTTCCCAAAGAATATTTCTGTTCCAGGGCACCCTGTTCACCCCGCTGCACCCTCTCCAACTGCCTGAGCTACGGGCTCAGATTCTTTTTATTTTTTGATGCCATGAATGAGAGAGACAGCGACAGGCAGTCAGACAAATGCAAAGATACACACTCTCCATAGGGCATGACACTCCCATTTTGAGCCAGCCCCACATCATGAGCACATACCCCCATGCCAGGTGGATCTCCAGATCTGAACCCCCATCTTCCCCTGCATTCACCCACACCAATGGTTGAGGCTGCACTACTGTCCCGCCCCAGGTGCCTCCTTTTAGAGGGAGGCTCACTGATCGAACTCTTGGGCTGTTGGAAAAGTCATGATGTGTTTTTGCATAGAAAAACAGGAAAAAATATGTCCTGACTTTTCTGACAACCCAAGAGAAGCTAAGGGACAACAGGAAAGGCGGCAGAGAAAACGGAAACAAATAATCAAGGAAGCTGGACTTCTGAGGATGTGTTAGAGCCATTTATCAATGTCTTCCCTTTTCTCTTCTCTCTTACCTTCTTTCCTTTCTCCATCAGCTTCCGCACCAAGCCTGTATCACGCCACACACATGACACCCTGTATGCCACAACTATTTGGCCAGCTTCCCCTGGTTACATGAAGACATTTCCAAAGGGTGACATCCTAAATGCACCTCACACTAAATATTGACTTTGCGGTTAGTTTATGCTGCACTCCGCTGTACAGCTGGTGGGTTTCAGCCTAGCATCTTTTACTGCAGTTGTGGAGAAGGGAGAAGGCTGGCAATGGGTTATTTAAGACATAAGCCTGGTCAGAGCTGAGTCAGAGAGTTATTCGCCATGAAGTCATCCTGGACAGCTTGGAAATGAGGAATATTTAACTGCACTCCAAGATAATTAAGTGGCATCCGAGACTCTCCCCTCACTCTTGCTCGCCGCCACCATTCATGGGCCAAAGACTCCATGGCTCGAGGTCAGTTTGACCCTGCTTTGGCGTCGTTAGTTCCTGCAGGCATCCAGGCAGGGGTGACATGGTATCAGTACTTCTCATTGTTTCTTCTAAGCTTTTTACCAAAGGGCAAATCAGAGGAGTCTTTAATCTCAAAATATCTGGTACCTGAAGACATCACGATCTCATAATCCATAAGACAGGCCACATCCCGTCAATATCCAGGTTGCAGACAGGAAATCTTGACAAGGGATTACTGAGAGGAATTTGCCTGGTCGTGCCTGGGGTCTCGCGAGGGGGCAGAGTTGGATGTGGCCTTACCTGTTTATGGTCTCTTGTTCTATCGAATGAATGAGATCAGGTGCCAAACAGGCCGCTGCAGGTGAAGAAGTGCTGGAAGGCTGCTGTCTCCTGGTGGTGTTCACAGTACCGGGCACCCACAGATGACACCATCTAAGGGGGTGCAGAGGCCTTACTTTTGTAACACTGATAATTTTCTAAAACTAATGAAAATGCATTTCAATCATAAAATTCGATTGCAAAAGACTTTGAGAGAAAGGATAACAACCAGACCTGAAGAATTTGAAATGTAAAAACTCAACAGAGTATCAGCACTCCCTATCTGTGGATTCCACCCCTGAAGGTTCAACCAACTATGAATGGAAAATATTGGGGGAGGGGAGGTAATAACAATGCAACAATAAAAAATAATATAAATTTTAAACACAGTGTAGTGTAACAACTCTTCGCATAGCATTGACCTTGTATTAGAGAGTATACTAACCCAGAGACGTTGGAAAGGGTAAGGGGGGGTGCAGATGGCTTTTATGCAAATACTGTTCCGTTGTACGTGGTATAAGTGACTTGCGCATCCCAGGTTCTGGTATCTGAGAGTCCTGGAACCAATCACCTACAGAAACTTTAGCAACGACTATATTTTAGAAGATCATCTGGTCTGGAACTAGCAGATGGCATAATGGGTACATTGCTGGACTCCCCGTAGTTGACCACAGTTTGAGTCCCAGACCTGGCAGATTAAAACTCATGCCAGGCATGTGTGCATGCATGGCCAAGATCCTGAGAGGAGAATGGAGGAGAAGGGATTGTGGGGTGGCCATCCCTTCTGGGGGAGGAGGTGACTTCTCATTTTCTGTCTCTCCAGCAAGTGCATGTGCCCTATAGCAAAAATCTCTCTTAAAAAAAAAAAGAAAAAAAGAAAAGAAAAGAAAAGAAAAGAAAGAGAGAGAAAGAAAGAAAGAAAGAAAGAAAGAAAGAAAGAAAGAAAGAGAAAGAAAGAAGGAAAGAAAAGAAAATTATCTTGTGCAAAATGGACCAAATAAGCGTTTTAGACTACCTTCTCTCTTGTGGACTTGGGAAACTTCTTTAGACTTACTTATATGGTCTTCTCAAAGCAAGTCTATGCCCTACTCAATTTCCATATCTCTGTATTCCTCCCTGGTTTGTGTCCACAAGGGAGGGGCAGCTGAGACACTTTAATCCTCACTCACACTGGTCATTTTCCAGTTAGGACAAGCTCAAAGTAGGGACACAGCCCAGGGAGAGGCACCCGTGACTCAAGAAATAATTTCTGGCATGAGCTAAAAGCAATACCTTCGGGACCAGCAGTTGGTGTAATGGCTATGTCTTTGGACTCCCATGTAGTCAACTGCAATTCGAGTCCCAGACCCGGTGGCTTAAACTCACGCCGGGCGCGTGTGCGTGTGTGCCCAAGATCCCGAGAGGAGAATGGAGGAGAAGGGACTGCAGCGTGGTCATCCCCCCTGGGGGGTGATTTCTTGCTTTCTGTCTCTCTGTCTTTCTCTGTCTCTCTAGCGAGCACATGCGCCCTACAGCAAAAAACCTCTTAAATATAAAAAAAGAGCAATACCTTCTAACTATATTGCAGAGTAGACTAGGACCGACAGGTTGCTGGGGTGTTTGCATAGGAAAGCCCACGCTGTTGCCCTTTGGAGTCCTAGAGGAGCTCCTGGCAGTCAAGCTTGCCCGAGGATCACGTGGAGCAGTCCATTCCTGGCACCATTCGCTGGCAGGGCTACTTCCTGGTCCTTTGCTCCAAGCCCCACAGGTGGCAGACCATGCCAAGCACCATCCGCCATTACTCTGGCCTGTTTTGATTTCTTTCTCCCAGAGCAACAATGTGTGCCGAAGACGGCTGTGGGTGACACAGCAGTGCATTAGTTCTGTGCAGGGCTGTGGTTACAGGCATGGATGCTGGGGAGCCAGGCTGCCTGGGGGTCAGATCTCAACTTCTCTTGAACAGGGTCTGGTGTGTCTCAAGCTTCAGTGGATCTCATGGATATTATCAGTAAAATAAAGTATGGGATGCTGGGAAAATATTAACAGGAATGAAACAGTATGTGAATGGGAAGAATCAGTGATATTAATTCCAAAATCCATGCATATATTCTCTAAGAAAGACACAAAGAGACACTCATTATCCCCATCCTATCGCCATCATCAGTCATTGGCACCATTCGATAAGAAATATCTCCCCTTTGGGACTGGTAAATGGCATAATGGTTGCGTTGCTTGACTCCAACTTAGTTGACCGCAGTTCAAGTCTCAGACCCAGTGGCTTAAAACTTGCACTGGGCATGTATGCGTGAGTGCTCAAGATCCTGAGACGATAATGGAGGAGAGGGAATTGCAGTGTGGTCATCCCCGTGGGGGGCGATTTCTCACTTTCTATCTCTCTTTCTCTGTCTCTGGTGAGCTCATGAACCCTATAGCAAAAA